AAAACATTGTGCAGTTAATTTTTTTGTTTACCTTGCCCTTGCACTTTTTGGTTAAATTTGACATCTCATTTTTTGACCTAAAATCGGAGTCCACGTGACTTTAGGGGGTCACATGATGTCGAAAAATACCGATGTCAAAAGCGATGGACATACTCTTCAAGATAACAAATAGCTGTTTTAACTAGAGTGTCTTGCTAAAAAATAAAACTGTTAAACATTATTTGTATCGGATTCCGTGAGTTTTTATTGAACATGTTGCCTTAACTGTACTGCGAAACTGTAAAGAAATATAAAACTTGGAATTCTAAATAAATATTTTTAAGATAAATATTGCTAAATTTTCACGCATGGTTTCTAAAATTGGCCAGGGCTTCAGTCCCGGAATGGTTCCCCTACATGGGCGACAGGTATAAGTGAAACGGGAATGAAATTAGCTGCATCGTACTCTTTTCTTTTTCTGGTGATGAATTATTTCAAATATTAAATACAAATCATGATGTTATAATCCGACTTATTTCTCTTCTAAAACTGATTGTTAGAGCGTAATTTCATCAATAAGTCTCGATGAGAAGCGACAAGTAGATATTAATTAATTTTCACTTAACAGTCGAACAATGTTACAATGTTGTGATTTCTTTTTAGAAAAGTAACGCTATTTAATTCCGTAGTATTTCAAAAGCGGGATGGTTTATTTTCTAAATTTAAGGACATGGGCAATGTAGGTTAATGGTTCCTAGACTTACAAGAACTAAATTCTACATTGTAATGCCTATATATGCTAAATTAAGTTACACTTCTAAAAACCAAGTTTGGATGCACAAAACATCTTTAAGATATGTTTGTTTGTTTTTTCATTTTTCTTTGCATTATACAAGCATTTTCGTATTTTGTTATCTTTTCAAAAACCCTTATAATGAATGCTAAATTTCTATTGATGGACTTCTGATGGCAGTATAATTTAAGATTTAAAAAAAAAAATCTTGAAAAAATATTAGTAGGTAGAGTACGTTGCGTGTGTCCTGAAGGTGAAACTAAATGTACGTTAACTTACGTTTTGACAAATTGATAATTATTTTACATATTGATTATATTTATGACACATTTATTATGAATAAAAAACTAGAGATACTGCGAGCAATGAGCTCACTAAATGATACTCCCCCTCTCTTATGGTTATAATGAAAAAAGTCCATGTTTTGCTATGGCCGGGAAACCCAAAATATCTGTCGGATCAATAAGTTAAATACGAGGTGCACAGCGGAAATTTGTAATAAAGATTCTGTGAAAGTTTCATTAAAATTCACTCAGTGGTATAAGAGGAGTTGCGGATAAGAGATGGGTACCCTAAAGTGTAACAGACGGATGGACGGAGGTTCAGACAGACGGACGAACGGACATACTGTTTACAGTATACCCTTCCACTTTTCAAGCGGGGTTTTAAAAACGCTTTGATTTCTTCTTCATCACATTGGCATATGTGGTAGGCAACAAAATCCTGAATGTAAATTCAATTGTCTGCACGATCTCCAGACAAGGTACACAATATATATATCCAGGGATAGATAACTAGGTAAAATACTTCATAATGCATATATGTCGAATTGTCGCCCGCGAGCTTCAGTGGTTAGCGTGTCTGTTCTAGTGTCGTGAAGTAAGGAATTGGTCCAACTGTGGTGCGCTGAAACAGGTCATTCAGTTGAGAAAGTATAAACCGAGGTTTCTTGTCGCAGTCGATACCGGCACGAAGATTCCTCACGGTGCAATGATCATGAATAAGGAGAAAGGAACAAAAAAAAAATTCCACTGCGACAGGTGGTACATGCAGTGTCTCCATGTGAGTGTCAAGAGGAATGCTGAATAATAAACAAACATGCATACATACGTTAAATATTTTGTCTTACTTCTAAGAACTGTTGATAATGTCTATATAATCTACTTTCTATTGAACTGATTTTGTTTCTTCCGATTAACATAAGGAATATAACAATTTTTCTGCTTTGATATTATCAGAAATAATCTTTGAATATATCATAGAAATTGTGTGAAGAGAATGAAGCTGATCTTCTTCAAGTGGAAACTCACGAAGAAGAAAATAATTGGATTATCGAAACTTTTCTTTCAAAATCGAATCATGGTAAGAGGGCTTTTTTTTACTACTTTATCGAAATCATTAGACCTGTGTTTATCTCATATATGTGGGGGATACTGCCCATTGGATTAAAGTATGATTTATTCACCGGTAGATGCTTTATTAATAGAGCTTAGGTTTTGACATAATCCCTTGCTTCAACTTCAAGATTTTATTCATCTAAACTTTTATTTATTTAAAAAAAATGCCCCTATACAATGAATACATTAAAAAGACTCTAATTTGTCAAAGAAGTGTGTGTCTTATCTTATCAAGAAACCTGTACTGGCGTCTTGAAGACAGATGTTGATCTTATAGTCTCATTATGAGGGGTTGAAACAGGCCTATTAGGTTAAAGTTAGATTCATAACCTGATTTATTTGTGAATAGTTTTAAATTTCTTTTGACTTGAAATATAGAGAAATCCCTTTGTAATCGAAAGGATGTGTGTTCTATACCCGTCCTCTATTTAAGTCTTTAAAACATTGATATCAGCTGTTTCTTCTTCAAACACTCGACATAATGACGAGAGAAAGTTGAGCCTTTTAAGGTTTGATTTCTTAAAAATCGAGGTCCATTGTCATGATACCCATCTTGTTCCCCGATTTGAACCTAGGTAAAAGAACAGCTATATTTTGTTATTGTCCCTTAAATCTTGGTAATGTGAGACGACCAAATTAGGCAATTTGTTGTTTTTTGGCTGAATAATATATCATCAATGATGGATATGGAGATTACAAACAGTACTCAATACCAATGTCCTTAAACCAATACAAAGTAGGAGCAGAGCAAACACGGATATCCTAACAATAAGAGTTGGTATCAGGTGTCATGGAGAAGTGAACATCCCCTGACGACCGGTAACACCTGCCCTGTGCTTCTTGTCATTACCGTGACATAACGAAAATATCGGTTGTCAACTAAGTCTATGAATCGTGGACAAACGGTTATAATGAAAAATATCAGTCAGCATTTGACTCGATAATAAATTTTATTTGCTGACCAGGTCATTGTATCGTCCACAGAACTTACAAATTGATAGATAATTCTATTGATATCCTTGTTTTATCAGCTTCTTTGTCAATGATTTACATCGTTTTTATTTTTTTTCTTACGTAGAACATCCTCTTGCATAACGAATCAACCAAGATATATGAACTCCGTATGCAGATGATGAAGGTCAATTGCTTTATTAGCAAGGAAAGTTGACGTTAGAAAAGTTATAGTCAAAGCGTTGCAAAAAGAATATCTTTACCTCTTTATCATTTCGAAGTAAAAACGATAGACTTCTACAGTCACTCAACCACATTATTCGATTTCTTAATATTTTTTAACAAAACATCGTTTCATGCATGATGAGAATTAAGATTTCTTTTGTGATGACATGAAGGTTGTTTTTTTGTCAAAAAAGAGTTAATTATTCCATTTTTTGTACCAGGTTTTTCACTAATGTAGAAAGATATGTATAAACTACAAATAAATAAAACCAAAATTATGACAATAAAAACTTTGCATAAACATTGGAATGTGAAAAAAAATTATCACAGCTGTGTAAAACCCATTTTTGGTTGGTAAGCAGTTAATATATTGTAAGCTTGGGTAATAATGAATGATTTGAATAAAAACATTCATGAAATATCAAATTCTCATTTTCCCAATTATAAATACCATGTGTCTAATAACGTCACATGTCTTGATGTTGAATTGAAATATAAATTGTAAATAATCTAATTCTTGGGTCATCATTTGGTTTTTTTTTTAATTTTCAGATGAATGTCTTCAGTATTGTTGCGGAGTTTGGATTAAAGCGCCAAATATAGAAAAAGAAAATTTCTACCCCCTTTCAAAAGTGAAATGTCTTTTGTCAACTTTAAAAAACTATGGTCCAATAACTTTCCTTTTACACATTGTGCCATATTTTGCCTAGACGGACTTTTGGATTATGATACCTGTAATGCCAAACTTGCATTTATTTGTGAAAAAGAACTATCATTTGATTAGGTTCATCATGTAAGAAAAATTATGTTTTTTCTTAAATATTCTTTTGCTATAGACTTTCTATAGTACTGCTGAGATATGACTGAAATATTGCCAAATCAGCTTTAGATAATAAAGATTTATAAATCACGAGGGTTGATTCAAAAGTTTGTGGAATTTCTACGTATTTTATTAATGTATTAGTTAAAGTAATTGGAAATAAGAAATAACAAAGGGCCACTTACTGAATTTATTTTAATAAATAAAAATTAATTTCATTATACTGTCTATTGTAAACGATCCTCTTAAAAAAATTATGTCCAAATACATCTACTTGTATCTCACTTTCATTCACAATGGTCGCACAGAAAGAACGTATGTGAAATCTGCTTAAAAATGATAATGATTTTCAATATATATAATGATATGATTACAAATGATTTGTTAAGTAGGACTTGTGGTTTTGCATTTTTTAGTCTTTACTGAAACTGAAATTAAATATATACACATTAGTGTTTTATTAAATATCAAGATTTAATAGAAATTTATAGATTTAATATCTAGAACAGGGGTTCCTGTATATGAGAAGAATAAAATATGTACATTATCAGATAAACTTACAGTATTTTGATACAGTTAACCGGTTTATCCGTCTGAATGTCCTAAAACCTCGCAGTTAACCGATTATCAATTCTGTATTCGATTGGCATGCGTAATATAAATATGATAACATCTTTTTACAGAAAAGACAGACCTTTTGCATCGTAATTTATGCTAAGCTTAATTAAAATCTGTTAACAAAAGCTATATTTCCTTATTAATCACGTAATCATGTGTAAATAAAATACATTTGAATTAATGTCTTTTTTTTCTTTCTTGGAATACACCATTTGAAAATCAGTCACATTTTTCAAGTCAAAAGTACAGATGTTTGCGCAAGGTACTGATTACAAGTGGCATTTGTCCACGTTCTGATACCTCACTCGATACCAAAGTAAGGATGTCCAAAAGGTGTGTACTGAAAGAAAGAAAATCTCATGAAAAATTATGTCTGCAATGCTGATAGTTTAAGTGCTTTTTTTGTGAAACATATTTTTAACATATATTTTCACATCCAGTTTTAATTGATATGAAGAAAACGTAAAGTTGTACGTAATTTCAAATATCTTTTTTTTTTATTTATGTTGGATATGAGTTATGCATTGCAAAGAACTATATGCGGTATACTGCATATCTTTGCCCCCTCAAAGTCAAATTTTTGAAAATTTCTTGAAATTTGCTGAATTTTATAAATTGTATAAGAAATATAAATTTACAGAATATATAGTAGTTTCAAGTAGTTTATTGACAATTTTTGTTTTTATGACATCACAAACTAGCCCGATTTTACATTATTTTCAGAAAGAGGACAAAATGGACAGAATTTCAACGATTTTACGCAGAACAGTTAAGGCAACATTTTCTATAAAAACTCACGGAATACGATACATATACTGTTTAACAGTTTTATTTTTCAGCAAGACACTCTAGTTAAAATAGCTATTTGTGATCTTGAAGAGTATGTCCATCGCTTTTCACATCGGTATTTTTTGTCATCATGTGACCCCCTGAAGTCACGTGGGCTCCGATTTTAGGTCAAAAAATAAAATGTCAAATCTAACCAAAAAGTGCAAGGGCAAGACAAACAAAAAAATTAACTGCACAATGTTTTATGTTGTCTCTATGTATCTATACTTTCTCAAAAGTGATGCTCATTCAGTTAGTTTTCCGATATTTATTAGTAATTCAGCTAAAACAGACAGTAATGTATGAAAAATAGGATATTTTCCTAATTCCATCACGAATTATAAATTAACTAAAGGATTACAAAGAAATGAGCATCACTTTTTGAAAACTATACAATAAAATAAATAATTTAAAATAAAAACCTACTTTTTAGATTGTCGCCTTGCCCTCGCACTTTTTGATTAAAAATTGAAATGTTGGAAGAGTCAATCTAATTATAGTTTTCAAACGCATCACTGACCAAGCATGGGAGATAACTCTTGAGTACTTGATATATAGTTTGTTTACCTAATAAATTTTAAATAAATATACATGCGGACAGGGATGGACTCTTTTTTTCTACTTAACCAAACGGTATCCATAAAATCCTTGACATTTCTTTCTTTTCTGTGTATTCGTTCTCCATACATTGTATACATTTATTGTCCTTCAAACCTCCCGCATTTCCTCAATGATGCGTATTTATACACGTAGTATTACACACAAATAGGTATAAATATTGCCGATATATCTATGTAGAACACAAATGGTTAATCAAAATATAGTCTTCATTAATAATTAATTAGATGTCTATTCCCCTCTCTCACTACTGTACGCATAGGCGTCGGAACCAGGGTGGGGTTGGGGGATGGGGGGGGCTTAGCCTCCCTACTAATTTGCAAATTATAGTAAGCATTGGAATTTACCTTTTATTTTGGCTTAGCCCCCCCCCCTTTCAACCAGCCCCCTTTCATTTTGCTTCCGACGCCTATTGTACACACACTTGTGTTAATATTTTTTTTTTCTTTCTGCATACGATGTCATGTTCTACTATAGTATGATCGCTTTCAATCAGACCGCTTACTGTTAATTAAGGGATATAAACTAAGTTATAAGTTTAAGGTACTAATTAGAAAGAATTGGGGTATACTCCTGTATCTATTAAGGGGGCAGCTATTTTATTTTGAGGCTGAGGGACTGGCAGATTTTAATAATAAATAATTGCAGATCACTGATCTCCCCCTCCCACGAATCAGAGTTTTCTTTTTTTTTTTTTTCTTTTTTTTTAACATTTTTCTTTTTTTTGCATGTAGGATTTTCAATGAAGAGGAAAATAAATAAATAATCTGTCCTTCATCTCATTGATCGGAAATAAATATTAATTTGTCCTTCATTGACATTAAAATGAAAAAAAATCTGACTTAGAAAAACTCGCCTGCTCCCCTCCCCCTTCCCTCAGAACAAATGGTGGTCCCCTATCCTATTTTGAATAAATAAGGGGGATCTATAGTCTCCTGTTTTTGGTAATATTATAAAAAATAAATGAACAAAATGCACATGCTGGAAATAAGATCTTGATGATCATTAGTACCCTCCACACAAAATAGTAAGAAAGTTAAGATTTTCAAATCTTAATGGTATTTTCAACATCTGTACAGTAAATATATGAAAAAGTCAAATTATTATTTATCTAGAAAATTTATTTAATAAACATTTCTTTTCAAATCCAATGACAGACTGTAGGAATGCTGGGCAGGTAAAAATCCATCACTTCATGTTCTTGTGTAAAAAATGAATTCTGAAAATATGAGAAAATCAGGAAATACTATCATTGAAAGTAATTTGTGTTTCAAAAAAGATGAATTAAAAAAATGCATTGAAACATTTAACATAGAATTTATATACATGTTTTCAATTCTTCCGTTAGTTTTATCATCAAAACTTTGTATGGTTTATAGCTAATATTGAGCATACCATTTTCCTTAAATGATGGATTAACTTGCTGCCTGTATGAATCCATTTGTCCATCATCTGGGAATAGCTAGGCCTACAACACAATATATATGCAGTTATATGCTATGAGATTACTAAATATACATTGTATAATAAAATGGCATTACATTTGACAAAACAACCTTTGCTACATTGTATATGGTAGTGAATTTATGCAGCAATGCTATTCATATAAATGAAAAAAAATGTGTTACAAAACTTCTCTGGGAAAGTGAAACCTCTGACATTTACAATAGTTATTGATAGAATATTTTCTAGTTTCTCCTTTACCAAAATAAAAAAAAATAATATGTAAGCACATGCAAACTTTAAAAATGTGAAATGCTTTAGAAGTATACATACCCTGTGGAGAAAAGATGCATTTTTTTATTTATTCATTCTTTAAGCCTGAAACTCTTGACAGCTACAATGATAAAAGTATTATATAAATATATCGTAGTAGTATTATATAAATATTTTTAATTTACAGTCATCTAATTTAACAAAAAATGAATATTTTTTTTTAATTAATTTAGAAATTCTAGAAAATTACAACCATGGATCTGAAGTGGGGCTTTTATGTTTTCAACACAATTATACATATTTTTTTTTTTTTAAATTGTGTAGCATATTTGTATGTCAAAATACATCATTGTTTGTTTAGGCCTAGTCACTAGTGAATCATTGACTGAAACAATGAAAACATCTCATTTAATTTTTATTAGTTTAAATTTGTGTTACTGATGATCTCCATTATTACACATATTTTCTCAAAGAAAATGAGCTAATTGACAGGAACTCAGTACATTTGTAGTGCAATTAATTTTTAATAATTCTAAAAAGTGTGGAACTTTGTAGGGGGGGGTACACACAAGGCACTGCATAATTACAGTTTTTCACTGACTGCGCTAATACATTTAAATGAACATGAACACACTCGGGTTTTTTAGGTTAACAAAAGCATGTCTACATATTGTAGATCTACACGATGTACCTACATATGCATATACATACCTGGCCTGGAATTACAGTGCGGTGATGGATCTACGGAGCTGGTGCAAATCGTCTCAGTTTTCTGCTATTTTCCGAAATAATGTCCTAATATTCTCGAAAAATGGAGAAGCAATGCCTTGTCTCTTATTTTATCCCTATTTTCTTAAAAGATTGTGTGGTTACTGCAATTAAATCCACTGCTAATCTGTACTGCGTAGCATTAGAATGTATACAGCGCAAGTTTGCTCAAGAACAATATTTACATATTTCATTGATATTATCATTCCACATTTACAAATTTTATGAAAATATTGAGCCTGATCAGACCTGCGCTCGGTGACTTTAGCTCGACGTAATATTTACATTTTTCTGTAGAAATCATGGCAATTTTAAATTTACGTCATTTTCGTTATGTTATTTCAAACATATGACGTCATTCCTTATGGAAAACATTCAGTGCTTTGAAGTCAGGATAAATCACCCTGTTTAAGAACATTATAAAATATTTTTCTATCAAAGTTTGATTTTGGGGTCAAATATTGGTTATTTAAGGAATGAAGCTTATTTCAACTTATGTTATAAGATATAACATAACTTGGGGCAGTTTACGCTTTATAAACCGCAAAGCGGTTTATAAAAATGCGTGAATTGCCAAAAAGTTATGTTATATCGTATAACATAAGTTTAAATAAGCTTCATTCTTCATAATGTAATTTCAATGTAGACAATGAGTCAATTTTTTTCCGCTTTTTTCCTTCGGAAAAAGGCTTCAAATATAGCATATTTTAAAAGTTAACGTCCAGCGGAGTAAAAATCTTTTGACATAACTCATTGTGACGTAGGTAAGTTATGTTTTACAAAATGGATAAAACCATTTATCCAATCAAATGACGTGTTACAACTTAAATTAAATTATTACCGAATAAAGTTCTTTCAGTAATATTTGAATTTATCCAGTAAAGCATAATTCATCAAAGTTAAGAATATGACTTCTCAAAAGGAACAAATAAATCTTAATTACCTCATCTATACCCAAGTGCTTTCTACTTTTTATCTATTTAATCGTTCAATAGATAACTTACTTTTTGTAGTTTTCAGCGAAGTGTTTGACGAACGATTGGATAAACCAGCTACCGAGAATCTCATTCCTATATGAGTAATAGCCGGGCATTGTTGAGAGAGCTAACAACATGTCAGCTTCGTTAGGTACATATTTAATCCCATCAGCTACATAGTCCCGTTGACTTCGCACCACTGTAGTAAATTTCAAATGTTCTTTAAACATGTTCAAAGAAAATATATGTTGAAATAGTATACGTAGTTATATTGATAACTAATTTTAGGTCACTATTTTACTAAGGTGATTTGTTACTATCTGTTTTCGTCCGTCATTGTCACTGTCACTGTCAATCTGTTTGTCCGATTGTAGTAAGCATTGAGAAATTTACCAGAATATAAACATGCAGTCCCATGTTCATGGGTTCTAGTGATAAGGAGGGACTATATAGATTAAATAGTGAAAATGCAGTAATTCTTTGTAAATCTTCCCTTCTGCTCCTTGGGATTATACAAAAAAGTTCATGTAAAGTTATGATGAGAAGTGATGTTTCTTCAAAAATTGTTAATTTTCGGGCTCTCGGTTAATGGTTCAGGTGGAAGAGTAGGGCTTTATTGTCTATAAAATGGAAACGCATTACTACTCTGAACCTCATCTTATTTGCACCTTGGTTTTAAATAAGCTAACTGCAAATATTGCTATGATGAAGAAGCGTGTCTCTTCCAAAATAAACTATCTGGGTCAGGGGTACCATAAAGGGCGGGGACTTTTATCATATTCAGAAAAAAAATTGTTTTGAAATCTGCCTCTTTTTATAAATCATAACCCTTCGCAGCACAGTTAAACAATGTAAGGTTACAAATATCGGCGATTTTTTCTTAAGATAAATAACAAAATACTTTATTCAGATGGGCGATTCTTTTAGGACTTAACTGATATAAAAAATGTAATGTGGTTTAAATCTACAAGTTGGAAACATTTAGATTTTTTTTTTATTAAGACTTGATACCTAATGTCGATGTCAAATAATTTTAGCAATTACACTTGCAGTTTAGAGGTTGACTATAAATTCCAATATTGCAAGGGCATAACCAAGTTAAAATTAAAGTTTAAATTATAATCCTTTTCAACACTACATGTAGTTTGTGAACTTAAATACTGTAAATGTATTATATTTGGCGTGTACGATATTTGGCAGAAATTGATTTTGAACAGGTTAGCGTAGATTTGATTTGGCGCTTTTCTTTCTTTTCGTATACATGAGTAGAGCGTCTGCTCTAGAGTCGCGAAGTAAGGAGTCAATCCTTACGTCGCGGGTTGGAATCCCACTGTGGGACGTGGAAACCGGTCATTCGGATGAGACCGTTTAAACCGAGGTCCCGTGTCGCAGTAGGTGCTAGCACGAAAAAAAATCCCTCCCTGTTCAATGGCCCTGAGTGCCGAGTATAGGACAAAATTTGCAGCTCTCCACCGGCAAGTGGTGGCGTCTCCATTTGAGTGAAAAATTCTCGAAAGGGACGTTAAACAATATATAATCAATCAATCATCGTAAACATGAGTATATGTGCAAGACATTTAGCGTTGTTTTTGAATTAGCGAACGTCTCTTTCCGCTAAAGGCGCTAAAAAAATACACAGCCAAATGTAATGCGTTTACAGTAGATTTTTTTTTTCTAAATTGCTAAAATTTAGTTTGTTGGACGGTAGGTTGAATATTTAGCTGGTCAGCTACATTGAATATAGCTATAATTAATTTATTTGCACGAGGTCACGAGGTTCGCAGCACTTTTCAAATATTTTAATGCTTCTTGAGTTTATTTGTAAAAACTTGACATGATACATTGAGGCTATGCCCTTGCAATAAATCGATTTATTAGAGCCCTTCCATTACGCAGTACAGTTAAGGTGCACAATGGAAATATCAACACTGTTTTGTAATAATTTAATTCTGGTTGTAACGCTGTATTAGATTGGATAAAAAATTATTTTATATCGTATAAAATGAAATTCGTCAAAAACTTATCAATCCGCCTAACGTTACGTTCAAATTTTGTACAAATTGAAGTCATTTTGTTAGAACAATCTCCTTTTTTTCTTACATCAAATTAATGAAAATTAAATTATAAGCAATGAATTCAATAGCTACCCATTAATACGGTATAAACTTGGTTGGAACAGTTTACGCTTTTTTTATAAACCGCTTCGCGGTTTATAAAGCGTAAACTGTCCCAACCCAGTTTACACCGTATAAAATGGGTAGCCATTAAATTCATTCCTTAAATGAAAAATGTATACATAATGGGGATGGCGATTATTTTTAATACATTATTTATATCGGATAATTGTAATCATGGTTAATAACTATATACTGAGGACGATTAGATTTTATATTTAGACTTGTCACGTGATGCGGCGGTCACGGGATTTTAACACATTTACTTGAAGTATTGGTGTTACCTATAAATGCCACTAGTGCAAGGGCATAACCAACTTAAAATTCCAAGTTTAGTATATAATTTTTTTCAACACGCATTGTAGTTTCTGAAAAGTGCTGCGATCCTATCTAAATTCTGCAATTTCATTGTTAAAATTATATTTGTATGACCGAATGCTGTATTTTTTGCCGGTCAACGGCCTGAAATATTGCTATAATTAAATTATTGTTAAGATTTCATCAGGATCGCATCACTTTTCAGATACCTTAATACTTCTAGAGTTGAATTTTAAAAGCTTACTATGATCCTATGAGGGTATGCCCTTGCACTAGGTCGATTTATTAAGACCCCTAACGTTACCCTCCGGTGTTTTTGCATACGACTGTACGGCCGTGTCAATTAAATATGTAATATACAGAAAATGTATGAATCCGAGTTAATGGCTTATAGAATATCTATAAATAATATTTCATTTAATTATAGTATATATTTTTCGTTGGAAATATATTACTTGATCTGCCTCTCACTTCATAGAAACTACGTCACGTTTTACGAAATGACGTCACAGTGACAAGTGAAAATCGATCAGTGACTTCTTTATAACTTGTTATGTGGGATTTAACTAAGAACAAAACAGGTTGCTGTAGTAATTTTTTATGTAGTTTTATGATTTATTACAGGTTAAATTAGCAAATCACCTCATTTTGTGGTATTTTAAAAAAGTTTTGTATGACGTATTTTTGTATGATGTCATACTTAAGTTTTCCCGTACAAATTAGGCCCCGCCTCCTTGTTCTAACCTTAACTGTGCTGCGTATTTTTTCAATGAATGTGCGTACAAACACACGACGGTATCACTTTTCTGGAGAAGTAACGGACAGTTTATAAATAAAAAACTAAAACAGACATCGCATCCAAGTTAACGGCCTTTAATTTAATTGCAAATAGTATTTCATTTGAGAACTATATCTTTTTGTCGTTCTACAAAAACGGAGGGCTTTTCGATCCCTTAAAATAAAGAATCTTAAAAGCAAAATTAATATTACACAGTAAAAAAAAATCATATAACACAATATCGCAAAAGTTCTTTTGAGATCAATACTTGTTGGAAACATAACATTTCTCTTTGTACATCAGCGTCTACTCAAAGAGACATAACTCTTTCGTGATTATTAAACACATACGAAAATGTACTGTTTTTCAATCCACTAAAACTCCTATAAGGGGTTAAAAATTGACCCCACGGCCCATAATTTTTAACCTGTACTCTTTATGTTTGATATAATACCAAAATTAGTTTGAAAATTGATTGATAATTTAAAAAGATACAGAGAAAAAGCTGTTTTCTGTACTAACCCCTAAAATCCTTTCTTTTTTAGGGATTTTTTCTTTTCATGACCTTACCCTACCCTTACAATGCTTGAAGCAATATTTATATTAAATTTCACGGGAATTGCTTGCCCACTTCTTGATATAATGGAACAAACATGATTTTAATTTCAACGTAGAAATCTCCATAGGCTATTTTAAGGGACTGAGAAAACCGGAAGTACTTTTCAGATGCATACCAAACTTGAAACATAGATAGCATATAAGGTTCCAAACAGGTGGGTAGAGGGAGATAACTCCTGCAAATTTTTTTTTTAAATACTTAAAAATAGAATAATTCAGGTCTCTAAAACTCCTATAAGGGGTCAAAAAGTGACCCCACTGACCATATTTTTTAAATTGTGCTTTTTATGCTTAACTCAAATCTGAAAACTGTTTGAAAATTCATTGAGAAATAAAAGAAATAACAGGCAAAGGTCTGTTTTTAATGTTTGCCCCTTAAAACCCCTAATTTTCCTGATTTTAATTTTCCGAGTATTTTCAGGTAGGAACATTATTCAAGGTCATTCTAAACTGAAAATTTCACAAGAAAATTTTCACTACTTTAAGAGAAAACTTGCCATGCGTAATTTCAAATTAACATAGAATTCCCATAGACAATTTTCAAAGACTATAAAACCGGAAGTTCTGCTCTGATTGATGTGAAACTTTCATGATATGCTCTACTGAATAGTTCAAACATATTTCAATGCTCAGAATAATTTTTTAATTGTGACTTTAAAAAATTTCATTCCCCTTTTTTCGATGTTTGAAGTCTTGTATCTTGTAAAGTATCTGTGGTAAAAAGTTACGTACGCGCACTTATTTATTAGATAAGGTCTCTTAGAATTCATATCATAAATTTGAGAGTCTAGACACTAAAATTAAAATTTTTTCGGCTTCTTTAGTAATTTCAGTTTTCCTTCGGTAGAAACAGGAAGTGACGTATCCGGAAAACCAAAACATTACACGCAAGAGACATTTGCATTTTCTTTAAGATGGTTATAATATATGATGTACATCTTGAAAGGTTATTCTTAAATCTTTGACAGAAAAGTGTTCAGAATAATAATAATAAAAAAGACGAAAACAATAGGTCTTTTCGACAAAAGTCGAAAATCCCTAATAAAAGATATTTTTCATTGTACAAAATATGACTTGAACGGCATCTCACTGAGTACAAACTGTGTCATTTTTTGCGAGATGCCGTCACATTGACAAGTGCATTGCGATCGATGAATCGTTTATATACTGGTGTGTGGGATTTAACAAACGACAAAACTGCATGTAATAGAAAGTTTGTATGTAGTATTCAGCTATCCAGCGGTTTAAAAAAGCAAATAATTTCATTTTATGGTATTTTAAAGACCTTATATTATGTGTGACGTCATAGTAAACATTCGAAGTACAAATTAGGCCTCGCCTCCTTATTTTAATCTTAACTGTGCTGCATTTTCCAAAATGTTGAAATATGTGGACCAAGGGTTAGATGTTCTTATGAGGTGGGGCACTTCTAACTATTACTGAATTTTATTTATTATAGTTTAAATGCACTTTTATTCTTCCCTGCCCATGGAAAAATCGAATTTTCTATTTTTTTTTTATCACATTTTCACATTTTTGCATTTCATTAGTTGTTTCGAAATATGTTAGTTCCACCGGAAACAAAGACTGAAAATTCCGGTTATGAGACAAAAACAACATAATTTTAATTTGCAAGAAAAAAAAATTACTTCCGGTGACGTTATTTATTGTGCTCAAAATGAGAGGTTATCATAGCGAGATCTCAGAGAGGGTAAGGGAATAAGAAACCAAACTTATACGAGTAATAATTTTTAATAAGCAGGTAAAAGATAAAGGGATAAATACTACAGGCGTCACTTCTGTTCGTAACAGGAAATGATAATAGAAATAGAAAAGAGCTAGATATGATGTGTCTAAAATTGCCCTTCAAAATGAATATCCAAATCTTTTTATATAAAGTATTAATTTGCATGGTTTAACATTTGTCCGTATTGGTAATTTTCAATTTGATCAAATGCCATTTTTTTTATAGAAAAATGACATTTTAAAGTTTAAGTTTCGCGCAATTTTATCATATGATATATAAAACTGCTTATTTTGTCCTTTTTTCAGGAAATATTCACTGCAAAGTAGAACAAATTTAATATTTTTACTAAAGATTTCCCAATAGAAAAACAAGTCAAGAAAAAAGCCTATCTTTGTCTTGTTTGGTTATGTTGCAAACATAGCATAATTTCTCATACTATTTCAACCCTCTACGTGCATATTAATATATAAAATAGTATTAGAATTCTCTTCAATGAAATATATTCTACAAAAAAGAATCAATTATGAATATCATTCTAAAATGTTGATTTTAAGGTGGACAAAATGACCCATCATAGAAAGTCCTTCAACTTTTCGTTTTTAATCTTTTTTTATCATTTTATTGTATCTAATTAGTAGTTTTGAAATATGTCATTCTCATCCGAAACGAAAACGAGAACTTCCAGTTTTAAGAGGAAAACAACATAATTTTAGTATTTTACATTCGAATAAATATTTTTACAGAAAAAAAATTGAATCGAATTCTATACATGTTTATTAAACTGCAAATGTCCAGAGCTAAGTCAAATATCTTTGTTAAATTCACTTCCGGTCATGTGATTTTGAAAAACTTTATGTGCAAGTGGTATGCATTTATTTGAAAAAAAGTGTGTTTCTTTCGTTAATGTTACGTAAACGTGCATACTGCTTGGGCTGTAACAATATACGCCATTTGAAAGTTAACAGTTAGTTTTATCATTTATTCCATAATTGCACTTGTTTTCCATGTAGATTTTCTATGTTTTCCATACTTTGTATCCATAATAGATAGTTTTGTAGAAGTTTTCCCAGCGAAAATGTCCTTTATTGGACTTTTAAAAGAAGTACTGACTTTCACAGTTGACGGTTTACTTGAAATTTAAACTTGCATCATGTAGGGAGGTACGGAGTTGCTTATAGATAAGAACACCTTTCAAGTGGTCAATGGTATTGCCACTTATGTTCTTATGTTATTAAGTGCACTAGCATGGAAGCCGGGAAGTTGAGGATAGGGTTGCTGTCGTTTTCTTTAGGGACAACTTATTGACACTTTGAAATAACACGTTATTTGGTTGAATTAAATTTTGAGCTAAAAATTTATATCTTGAAAGAGCTTCCCTACATTGTTCTAGTGTAAAAGTAAGCTGTCAACTGTAAAAGTCAGCTCTACTCTTAAAAAGTTCATTAGTTCTATATTCACACCATAGATGTGCATGAAATTGAGATGTCAAACCTTCACCACTGCAGTACATTAATTACCTACGCTTTCACAGAGAGTAGAATAAAACTGTCTAGCTGTACTTACATCCGTCAGAATAGCTAATTAACCTCTGTATGTAACACTTTTTTTTCGTTTATGGTCGACCGGTCACGGTAGCCTAGTGGTGGAGCGTTCGCTTCGTGATCGGCAGGCCCGGGTTCGATTATCGATCGCGGCGCCGCGTCATACCTAAGACGTAAACATAGGTATTCTCGAGAGGGACGTTAAACAAAATACAATCAATCAATCGTTTATGGTCGATATTTTTGACAATGAAATTTGTAGCAGTATTCTGTTTGATTTAGAGAAGTATACACCGTCCTCATAAGTTTAATATTGTATGAAATAATAGTTAAAAAGACAGCATAAGTTTTTTTTCTGTTTAATAGATGTCAAATTTAGACTTTACCTTGATGGATAGAATGTAATTTAATCAAAAGCAAGGCCTCAATTTGGAAACATGGCACTGGAGTGGGATCTCCCCAAACGGAACCTATCACTCTACAGCAAATCATTTTGGGAACGCAACACAGTTAAGGTTACAAAAAGGAGGCGGAGCTTAAATTGTATGGGAAAACTTGACTATGACATCATACACAATATATGACATACAACATTTTTTTTAAAATACCACAAATGAATTGATTAGCTAATTTAACCAGTAAGAAATCAGCAAACTACATAAAAACTTACTACAGCGTGCTGTTTTGTGGTTAGTTAAATCCCACATAGCAAGTTATCAAGAAGTCACTGATCGCATTACACTTTTCAATATGACGTCATTTCTTACAACGTGACGTAGTTTGTATACAGTGAGAGACAGATCATGTAATATTTTCTCAACAAAAAATGTAATCTCTAATTAAATAAAATATTATTTACAGATATTCTATAGGCCAATAACTTGAATTTAATGTCTTCTTCACTATTTTATTAATATATGTTCTGTACATTACGTATTTAATTGACACTGCCGTATATTTGTATGCAAGTACCTCGGAGGGTAATGTGAGGGGTCTTAATAAATCGATCTAGTGCAAGGGCATACACTCTATGGATCAAAGTAAGCATTTACATTTCAACTCTAGAACTATCAAGGTATCTGAAAAGTGCTGCGATTCTGATGAAATCTTAAAAACAATTTAATGATATCAATATTTTATGTCGCTGAGCAGCAAAAAATATAGTATTCGGTCATACAGATATAATTTTATAAGTGAAATTGCAGAATTTAGACAGGATCGCAGCACCTTTTAGAAACTAGAATGCGTGTTGAAAATATTTATATACTAAATTTGGAAATTTAACTTGGTTATGTCCTTGCACTAGTGATATTTATATGTAACATCAATACTGCATGTCAATGTGCTACAATCGCGTGACTGCCGTATCACGTTACTAGTTTAAATATAGAATATAATCGTCCTCAATATGTAGTTATTATTCATAATTACAATTATCCTATATAAATTATTTACTTAAAATAATCGCCATCCCGATTACGAATACATTTTAAATACAAAATTTAGTCGATATTTCCATTGCGCACCTTAACTGTACTGCGAAGTAAGGTTCGAAAATGAGACTTCCGTCTTAGCTAGTTTACTCTTCCTATATTTTTGGGGAATGACTCTAGGGCGAGACTCTTCCTTACTGTGTGTGTTGGGGGGGGGGGGGGGCTGAAGAGCAAGTCGTCCGGGGGAACTATCATTGTTTGGTTCTTTACCTGAATTATGAACTTACTGATATGATCATCATCACCCTGACAAGCTTGAACTAAAAACAGCTTGGGTTTTCCAGCCAAACTTTTGCAATGAGTGCCTATGAATAGGTTGATAACATCACGAATTTGTATCTCCTTCCGATCTATTCCATAAACAGCATTCTCTGAGCCATGGGCTAATATGCAGCATACAAATGCATCAGACTCACTATGGTCCCTTGATGACATTTCTCGTATTACATCAAATATTTCATGGGACTCCAAGTCTCTTTTCATTGAAATATTAAAATAAACGTCGTGGAATATCTTTGTAAGTTTCTCTAAAAAAAAAACAAAAGAAAGAAAACATCATAATAATGCCGTCTGTAAAAAAGCAGTTTTGCGGCATGGACGATGGTTGTTGCTGACGCTGTCTTTTGTCTTTTCTCTTATTTTATCCAATATACATTTTCATTTCGTATATCAATTCAAAGGTAAAGTACATTTTCTCATGATCATATTTCTTCAAAAATCAAAGTGAGAAATAATGGAAAGGCTAGAATGAGATTTCGCTAAATTCGCTGGAATTCGGCAATTGAAGAAATGTATGTACATAATATAAATATGTTTACCTCTCTACTCTCTCACTTTCATCTCAAGTTCATTCGTTACCTTTATCCTATAGAGAAGTTTTCTTTTTCAGAAAAAAAATTAAATTTTAGACTTACACTTTAGTTTTAAAATGCCAAGCAAATAAACATGTGTTATTTTCATCGTCTTAGGTCTGTGGCCCTCAAGTTAGCAAGGTTTTAAATTTTCAGGTTTTGTTTAATAAAGGTTTTCAGTTTGTTTAACTTTTTAATCGCTTCTTGAAGTTATATAATACAAAGAAATAAATGAGAATACGAGTATATCCAACAAAGACCATGCTGAAAAGTCCATATAAACAATACAAAGCGTGAACATCGGAAAACTGGGACCTTTAAAAAAAGGTGAGATCTGCCTCTGTAAAAGTGTATCCCCTCTCATTCAGTCACACTAGCACATAGGTAAGAAAAACTTCACAAATTTTTCATATGATATATTTATTTTGAGAATATGTATGCTTAAGAATTAATATCAAATTGAATTCATAATATTACCTGCGTCTGAATCACTTCCTTTTCGTTTATTCGAACCTCCATAATTTACATTGTTGATGATAATAGCATCACCTAAAGCAGGCAAAAATATGAATTTTAGAATTGATAATTTGCTTTTCTTTAATTTCCTGACTTAGACTCAATTCATATTTATGTGCATTATAATCTGTATGTGTTTTTTTCTTAATATATGAATATAGATATAATAGTATTAATTCCTTTACAATTTTTTACTATACAAATATGGACTCAATGTAGGCAATATGCATCTATAATGACCTAGGGTGACAGATGTTGACCGAAGATACATGGAGTATATCGAACGAAGGCGATATACTCCATGTATCTGAGGTCAATATCTGTCACCCTGGGTCATTATAAATGCATAATTATTGACCGTGCATTGAGTCCATATTTATTATATTATATAAATAATATTTTTCCATATTTATTAGTACAATGTATATCTTCTTAATGTTTACAGAGATAGTATTAACCATGAATAAGTTGAATGTAGATATTTCAGAATTTATTGAATGTTACTCAAAGAACTTGTTTTGCCAATAAATTGTAACCCATATCATGATAATAACGCAAGATACCTATCTCCGAATAACACGGAGTACCCCCTCCCCAAGATTGAGAATCGCACTCTTTTACACTTGCAGAAGAAATTATATGCACTGACAAAATATAAATACCTATGTCTTCTACGATAAGATACAATTACACATGGCATGCTTGTCTTTATTTTCTTTAGTCTCCGTAATCGCGTAAACAGCGTCAAAACTCTGCTCACCGGGTGGATAAGTCTATTCAACCAAGAAATGGTATGTGCTAAGTATTCCCGAAAAATGTTCACAGAAATCCTTGTAAATTGTTTTGTATTCTCAGCCTCTGAGTTCTTCACTATATCTTTTAAATTTTTCTCACCTACAACTTGCAAACTTGCGAACTTCCATGTTTGTCTAAAGCGAAAGAGAAAACGAGGCAGCTCGTGTGAGTCATTATTCGCTTTCAGCGGTCGTTATTTAAAAGTAATTACTTCGTATTGACCAATCAGATTACCGGATTTCACAAAGTTATATAATATTGACTAGTAACAATTAATTAATGACTTGTATTAGTTTGTTAAGTTAATGAAAACGTTACATGTAATGTACAATATACATGTAGCACATAAAATGGAAAATAACAACAATTACTAATGTTTTTCTTTCACATTTATGTAAACTTTTTATGAATAAAAAAAATACAATCATGTTTTTTTCTTCTGAATTTTTGCCAAACTTCTATATTTAAATGCGTCCATTTGCAAAATTTCGATATTAACAAGTATCTATATACTGCTTTACATGTACATGTATATAAATCAAAAAGATAAGTCTAATAAAATTACGTAGCACTATAAAGAATAAATAAAAGAGGTTTAAACTACATCATGTACATGTATATGTATTCTGTATTATCATGCAGACATTAAAAAGGAATTCTTAATACAGCAGATTTAATAGTTTTCATGTAACACTGTGTGAAAACTATATAAATAGCATCAAAATGCACTAAAATCCGATTTCTTATCTTTTTTTTCTTTTTGAAATGTAATTTTCTTTAGTTAAATGGAAACACTATTCGTGTATCAAATTATTATAGCCAAAGTTTACATTATCATTTATTATGTAATTTATATGTATTCCAGTTAACTTGGGTTAACTGTGGCTAACATAATATAAATATTTTTTTCAGAAATGCAGCTGAGTAATCAAACTTTAATTTACTTAGATCATTCTTACCCCTGGGTATATTTTTCATTCTGTAGCGATCAGAGAAAGCACCTTCTACAATGTGTATATAACCACTTATAATCGAGTGCATTGACCCCTAATTCAAGAAGGATACAGAAGTGAAAGACTTTTCCGTAAAAGTAAATAAACAAGTTAATCGGATTAAAGACTATAACATACCAGGATGTTTATCTATCTACGGACATCAATCCAGGAACAACAACTAAACATTATCAAAGTTTACATTAAAGTTATACTAACTTTTGCCTAATACAAGGACACTGACCACCAGTTTACAAAAACTCATATTTAGATTATAAATTGTTTTGTCGAATTTCCAGGATTTAGACCCATTTATTGAATAACTTGTTTATCATATATGTAAATGAGCATTATGTATTGTACATTATAAAAATGCGTTCTAACTTTATCAGACATTCTTTACTCTAGCTTACTCTCTCGCTCTCATCTGGGCCGACTTCTCAGAGCCAGGCTCCTCGGAGCAACGTTCTAGGAGGGATCGCGAGGCACTATACGATCGCAAGCCATTTATGTATTGTACATTATTAATATGATCTACGGCGATCTTCGATATCTTTGCTCTAAACCACTTTACGAACATTGTTTGTATTCTTTGATAATTTCACTACAGTACTGTTAAATAAACTCTTAGAAAAGACTTTTTCCGTGTCATTGGTTCACAAGTTGCGGATAAGAGATTGGTACCCCAAAGCGTAACAGACTGACGTACAGACAGACGGACATCCCGTTTATTATTTACACTCCCGCTTTTCAAATGAGAGATATAATAATGATTACTGATGTATGGAAGCGTAAAGTATCTACACTTGTGTTATATTTTGTATATCGTCTTATATTTTATTGTCTTATCAAGTCATATTAGACTAAATGTTGATAAGACAATAAAATTTAATAATAAAAATAAATAACAATAACAATAAAAAATATATAATACAACAAGTGAAAGATCTTAACGCATCCGTACTAACGAATTAATTATTTGATAGAGGACAAAATCAATCAAAATGGTTTTAAAACGTGTGACCACTATTGAATTTACACGCACCTATTGAACAAATGATTATACAAACTTTCTTAAAGTTTTTTTTTTCATGTCTTGCGAAAAGACGTTGGATTTACTATCCATATTTGTAGTGTAGGCAGGGCAAAGAAATTAGTTCTATTTCATATTTTTCTACATGTAAGCAAGTTTTAAGTAAATATGTTATGAAAGATCCTTTAAGTCTTCTTCTTTTTCATGTAGACATTCTAATTTCTAAAAATTAGAAAACTGTTAAATTTGCAGACTCTTTCAATAATAAATACGCAGCACTGTTAAGGCTTACTACGAGAAATCAACGGAAAACAGAAGTGCAAAAAAGGGCATTGTTTTTAAAACTGAATTTATTTTTATTCAGGTGTTCTATTATCAGAGAACTTGAATAGCATAGTACAACCTACTCTGTACTGTATGGAGTTTAGTCCCATAGATGGACAGTCACGTGGTGAATACATTGTAGGTACACGGAATGAAAGTCAATAACAGATTTCAATATCGTAAGGGCACACCCTAGTTGAAATCAAAAATTCAAGCTATTAATTGTTTCGGCATATTTTTTACTTTCTGGAAAGTGCTGCTGCTTTGAATAGATTCCGCGTTTTAATACTTAAAATTTCAAGTAAATAGGCCAATGTCGAAATATGTTTGACTTTTACCAAATAGTTTGTGTACTTATAAAGTCGTGCTCTCGATTCAAAGAAAGCAGCAGCACTTTTCAAGTTAAGAAACATATCCTCTATTTATACTCAAAATACTCAAAACATGGTCAAGATTTATTTAGTGTATGCCCTTGCCAAAGAGCGATTTAATGAGGCACCTCAATGTAAAATATACCTAACCTGGACATAAAAACACGACAGAATTATCTAAATACATTCATGCTCTCGATTTAAAGAAAGCAGCAGCACTTTTCAAGTTAAGAAACATATCCTCTATTTATATTCAAAACATGGTCAAGATTTATTTAGTGTATGCCCTGGCGAAGGAGCGATTTAATGAGGCACCTCGATGTAAAATATACCTAACCTGGACATAAAAACACGACAGAATTATCTAAATACATTCTCTCAATAGTTAATGAATAATCGCACTTAACAAATGATATACATTGGTATTATTAGCCTATTAAAAACCTGTAAATAATATTCTGTTTTATCATTAAACGTATTTTTCATTGTTAAAAAATTCCCAAATCTGCCTCTAACAGCACATGAAATACGTAATTTTTACCAAAATGACGTCATGATTGACAAGTTCATCGAGATCAGTGATTTGTTTAAAACCAACTGTATGGAATTTAACTAGCGACTTGCGACTTTTGTTAATGTATTGATAAGTTTTATTGTTGTTTATTATGCCAATACAGTTTAAAGTTGCAAATTATTTAGTTTTCGAGTAATATGAGGAATGCATAAAAGTCATATTTTTAGTGTGACGTCACAATTAACTTTTCCCGTATAAATTAGGCCCCGCCCCTTTTTTCTTGCCTTAACATTGCTACGTAAAAATACAAATGAGTTCTGGAATGAAAGGATTATCACTTGAGAACATTTTTATAACAGTTTTTATAGATGTTTAGGACAAAAAAGGCGTTGTAGCTTTCAGCGCATTTAAGGATATCCGATTCTCAGCCAGGAAGGATAACTCCAAACATTAATGTTGAAATCCATCAAAATGAAGCTTGAAATTGATTTTTTTTTCTCCTGCAACAATTTTCATTTTATCCATCTTTATAGAATTCAAGGTTTTTGGAAGTCTTACAGTAGCTGGAACGTTATTGTTGACAACTTACACGAACGATCACGTTACACGAACGATTCCGCACGATTAACGCACGATTAAACCTGTTACACGAACGATCTTTCACGTTCACGATTCTACACGTTACACGATCTTACACGATTGTTAACGCAAACGCACGATTCTTCACTCAAAATAGTTCAAAATATTTAGGAATCAATATTTTCAAAACGAAATACAGCTTAATACTTATTTAAGATTTCAAAGAATTATCAATATTATTTCATAGACTTTGAATAAAAAAAAAACGGAAAATGATATTTCTGAAACTAAATATAATTATGCAAAACTTAATATTTTAGATTAAAAATAATTATTTCTAAGGTAATTCTCCGATATAAAAAAAAAATCCGGATTTTGTTCTTTCTATTAGACGATGTACATGTCTGTGGGTCGTATAATTTGATTGAATTGGATATCATGATATGCAGAAAGGGGGATACGATTGAATAAAAATTGCAGCATGGAATGACTTAAATTATAATAAGAATTTTATCCTTATGTTTCCAATGATTCAATGTCTGATAAACTTGCCAATTATTCAACTTTTTTATTTGCAGAAATTTAAAATTAATTAATTACAAAAAGGTTCAAGAGATAAACACATATAATCTGAACTCCCGAAAATCATGCCGTGTCCATGTATATTTGTCGACTAATTAGTTATGTTAGCATTGAGAAATGTTTATTTCTTTGTAAAAAAAAAAAAAAAAAATATTTTCAATGAATTGATTTCAAGATTATCTTGAAGACAAAAAGAAGTAAATAATAATTAAAATCATATTTTTCAAAAAAGGCGTTAAAGATCTAAGTACAGTTTATCACAATATTGATCGCGCTATTTGACGATGACTTAATATTGTACGACTTACTATATTGCTTGTTTACGGGCGATAATTAGTTCGTTCTGCATTTTATTATGTAAATTGCGCTTTTTCATTTTATTTGGATTTTAATTAATAAATGAAGAAAAACAAATATGGGAAATGCTTATTTTACAAATAACATTCCGATAAAAACTTACAAAACGAAATTTACACGATTCTAAACGCACGATCCCGCACGATTAAAAACGCACACGATTGAGTCTGATACACGAACGATCTTGCACGTTAAACGAACGATCACTCACGATACACGAACGATTCTACACGATTGGTTTGTCAACAATAACGTTCCAGCCACTGTAGAATAATAAAAGGAAAAAAAATAATACGGGTATAGAGAAATAAGATTTTCTTATAAAAGTATGTATAAAAATCATGACTATTTCTCCGAATGCCTGTCTACCTTAACTTGATTTATCTGTTCCAGGGTTAAAATGAACGTAAGATGGCTTAAAAATATTTATTCAATTCTATAGTTGCATATTTATGCCATTACGGATGTAGAAAGGCTTTATGATGCTAATCATATGCCACATGATGCCTTTGTTTCTTGGGTATCATCTTCTTGGTTGTAGAAATACATTGATCGAGTCAACGTTCAGTCATCAAATATCTATAAAAACATTTTTTTTAATTTTTGATTCCATAAAAAAAACAGCAGTAATTTGGATTCTGTATGAAAATGGAACTGATTTTATGTCCTCAATTCATCTTATGCAAGCCAAATGCATGAACTGTAAAGAATGAGTGAAAGACAGTTCAATGTTAGTCCTGCAGCTTTATTTATTTTTTACCTCCTTAAAACACTACAAAACATACTTTGAATATTGTCATTTATTAATGACGAAGATAACTACTAGGGAGATCCCAGACAAAGGTACAGTAACTTATTGAGCACCTAATATCACGATTAAGATCTCCAGAGAGTCTAAACAAGACACGATCATTGATAAATGTACTTATATATACAATGGACATTAATTGTTCGATGCATGTTTAATTTCAGTTCAATGTAGTTTCAAATGCACAACTATAATATTAAAAAAAAACTTTGAAAATTTCACAAATATTGGGGTTCAATTATTAGTCCATTTCAAAATATTATCCATTATTAACAAATTACAGACTTGTCCGAATCACTGCCTTGAAGCTTTTTTTTTTTATTTTAACATGATATTTTAAATGGGAAGCATTAAAAAAAAACTACAGGTATTGTGAGCAATGAGCTCACTAAATGAAACCCCCGCCTCCCATATAAACCACCATATACAGGTGATGAATGTATATTGATACATAAGTAAGTGAAGATGACGATTAAAAAGGTAAAATTACCAAGTTTAGCATAAAACATGGTTGTTAGATAAATAATCATTAACGTCCTTTTCTAGCAAAATATCCAAATATATTTCCAATCATTTTATTAATTGACTCCCTGTGTTTTGATTGAACGAGAACAAGTTTAAGAAAACGTTTACACATCGATAAATTTTTCAATCTGAACTCTTTTCTTGACCAAGCTTCTAGGTTATCGTATAAACAATGAAAGCATTTAGTTCTGGTCTGTTTTTGCTAAAGTATGAAAACAAGAAACTTCAAATTTAATTAGATAAAAGAAAACTGGCGACACACAGGACTGACCAGCTGACGGTCGCCATGAAAATGTCCATGCCATTGTCAGATCATTGGTGTGAATTTTAAAAATCGCTGATGTCATATTCTCGACGTACAAAATATGAAGCAAATCAAATCAGTTTGTATCGTAGTCTGAAAAATCTGACGTTCTCCAGGCTTCTTTAACGATTTTACATGCCAGGAACCAAACATATCAAATATCAAATTCTTAAAAACGTTAGATATTTCGGACTATTTGGATCGTTATGATAGGGAAAAGAAACGTACTTCAAACTCTTGCCTAATTATCATCAAATTCATATTATTACTTTCTTTATTCTTCCTCAATCATTGAACAAGCCAGTGCAAATCATCGTCAGTCTGTAACTTTCTCTCTGAGCGTTGTCGTTAATGTCAACATCAGCAGGCACGTAGCATCGTTTTTGAAAGTGGGGGGGCCAACCAGAGAATTTTTTTTTTCACTTACCTGAAAAAGTTAACAAGCAAAAAAAAAAAAAAAAAATAAACTGTTTAAATTTAAATTAAAAAAAATTGAGGAAAGTGGAAAAACCGGGTTGGGGGGGGGGGGGGGGGGGGGGGGGGGTTATGGCTTTTTCAAAGCCAACTTACTATCACTTCCAATTTTTCCCCTACAATCCTTGATATCACTATGCTATGGTAAAAAGTGGGGGGGGGGCAACCAACCTTTCAATGAACATTTACTATAGTAAAGGTTATAATGGGAAAAAAAGTGAGGGCGCCAGGCCCCCCCTGCCACCCCCCCCCCTGGCCCCCCCTGTTGCTACGTCCCTGGACATGGCCATGGTCAAGGACGAACTATTACATGTATGAAGTAACTCGTACGGAGCATTGTTAAGGCTGAAAAAAGGAGACGGGCCTAATTTATACGGAAAAAATTATTGTGACGTCACACAAAAATATGACTTTAATGTATTTCTCATAATACCAGAAAATGAAATAATTTTCAACTTTAAATTGTATTAGCATAATAAACAACAATAAAACTTATCAATGCATTAAAAAAATCGCTAGTTAAATCCCATAAAGCAGGTTATAAACAAATAACTGATCTCGTTGAACTTGTCAATCATGACGTCATTTTGGTAGAAATGACGTACTTCATGTGCTGTGAGAGACAGATTGAGGATTTTTTTAACAATGACAACTTTGTTTAATTATAAAACAGAATATCATTTAAATTTGAGTGCGATTATTCATTAACTATCGGGAGAATGTGTTTAAATAATTTTGTCGTATTTTTATGTTCAGGTTAAGTATATTTAACATCGATGTGCCTCATTAAATTGTTCTTTCGCAAGGGCATACACTAAATAAATCTTAACAATTTTTTTTTCTTTAACTTGAAAAGTGCTGCTGCTCTCGTTAAATGAAGAGCGTGACTTTGCAAGTACACAAAATATTTGGTAAAAGTTAAACATATTTCGACATGGGCCTATTTACCTGAAATTTTAACTATCAAAACGCGAATTCTATTCAAAGCAGCAACACTTTCCAGAAAGTACAAAGTATACAGACACAATTAATAGCTTGAATTTTAATTTAAAATAGGGTTTGCCCTTGCGATATTGAAATTTGTTAATGACCTACATTCCGTACAGGTACTATGCATTCATCACGTGACTGTCCATCGATGTGACCAAACGTCATACAGTACAGAGTAAGTTATACTATCCTATTTCTATAAGTATTTAAGTTCTGTGGTAATAAAACAACTGAATGAAAAAAAAATAAGTTCAGTTTTAAAAACCATTCCCGTTTTTGCACTTCTATTTTCTGTTGATTTAGTAAGCCTTAACAGCGCTGCGTAATTACGATATTTCTTGACTTACCAGGTTATCAGCATTCGGTAAGTGTTTATAAGTTTATTTATTTATTTATTGTTTTGACAATTTAAGTTGAACTCTTTCGAATTTCATCTCCATTTCGTTCCTTCGCGGTTCCTTCGCTGTATAAAGTATTCCTAAGCCGTACAGAAATAGCTTAACGGTTTGTATGAAGCCTCAAAGAGAAATAATTTAAATAATTTTAAAAATTCTTACTGGTAATTTGAATTAAAAGAATTAAACATTAAATTAACACTAATTAAACAACACTCTTGTTTTTTTTTTCACAAACTTAATATTAGAGTGCATCGCACTTTTATTTTGATTGTAAGTTAAATGTCAAGAGATTTCACATCGAAATTTTTTTAAAAAATTCTGTTCTTAATAATCCTATAATAAAACAGAATGATGTATTAGACTCTGTGATATCGTTTACTTCAAGTTCACTGCATATATCGTATCGATATAAGGTCACAACAAGAGTTTCCTGAATACAAATACTAGGTCTGCAAAGATTGGTACCCATGGGAATTTCAATAGATTGTATGAAGATCTGGTCTCCAAAATACATGGATATTGTCAATCTTTGAATTGTGCCAGCTCTTTTAACAAAATGGATGTTGATTTCTTCGGTGTGTCTGTTACGTTTTAGATGTATATCTGTTTGTTTTTGTTATTGAAAACAATGTATAGATATAAATACCAAATAGACTTTATGTGTCTATTTAGTCATTTTCAGTTTTAAAAAAATAATTTTATTATTATTATTGACACTTTAGTATACACTCGTGATTTAACTTTATATCTATACTACAATGTCAGCATATGTTTATGAAACTTGACATGTACATTAACATTGTAATACTATATCATAATTACTTGTAAAGGGTCCAAAGCCAGAGTGGCGAACATGGTACTTAGAACACCCGGAGGATATTTCTGAAACACAATTATACGTACATAAATTAGTATTTTGATGCTTTTTTTTTTTACTTTTTGAATTTTTGAACATTTTAACGTTAATATCAGAATTCTAATCTCGGAAACTGAGTCCCGATAAAATATGACTTTCATAATTAAGTGGTTTTGATTTTTTTTTTTTATTTTGTAATTAAGAAAATATAATCACCAGAGATTTACCTTTCTTTTCCTAGGTAATAAAACACGATTGTTCTCTCGTCTATCATCTTCGCTAGCCAAGGGTTTTCGGTCCGCAACGTGTAAACCACGTAAACCAGCTTTTGTTCCTATGAACACACCACGTCTGTCCGTTAAAGCATATATCGCTTCTTGTTGGAAAGAATTTAATTTCTGTATTCCAAATGTTGTAATACCCTCCACTTGAAAAGCGGGAGGGTATATAGTCATCAGGATTTCCGTGCGTCCGTCTGTCCGTCCGTGTGTTACGCTTTATATCTTATACGCAACTCCTCTTATACAATGAGGGCCGTTCAAAAATTACGCGGACTTGTTGCACAGAAAAAATATTTGACAACATAATCGGGCAAAATGTCACATATTATATGAAATAATCTTAACTGATATGGTCATACCTATAAATCATTGAGTCGAGGAGCAGCAAAATCTTCGACGTCACAGGCATTATAAAAATGTTTTGATTGAGCTATCATTTTCTCAACATTTTCCCAAGATTACTTGTATAGTTTGAGTTTATTTATCTACTCAACATCCAAACGCCATTTCTTGTCGAGCTTAACATCTATTAAACAAGTAAAGAAAATTCTTTTTTTTATACCAAGAACGTCAGTTATTTATGAGATATAGTTTAATAATTGTGACTCTCAATCACGTTCTTTACAGTCCAGATAAAGTTTCGTCGATAATCTTCTTCCCGCCCTCCCGTATAGCCTTTTTACGGAGGTCTAAACGGTCTAAAATTTAATTTTGTTATTTGTGGATGAATGTCACGAATACCCTAGGTAGTTTACTATGTGTTTTATTATGCAAATTTTGGATATAGGTTGGCGATATCTCGAACATAACACATAATTTAACAAAAGTGTGGTGCGCCGTCAATCCAGGAGACGTCGTTTTTACAGGAGTTATCATGGGTATCGCATCAGCGAAAAATTACTATATTTCTGTTACTACTTCAAATATCATGTCAGAAATTTAAATACATAATAATAAAACAATTTAAAGATACATTTGAGAAAGTTGTAGAAAAACATTGCGAAATATTGAAAATTAATGTGTTAAATTTTGGATTCCGCATGCTTTTGCTTCAGTTTGTTCTCGTGCTCCGTACCTACCCATTAGCGATATCAACATACCGATAATTTTCGTAGAATTTTTTTAAAATACAGAAATTTTGCTCAAAATTTATTAGAATTTTTAGGATACATATTTCTGTGAAATTTCATAACTATATGACGTCTATAAGAGTAAATAATAGCACAGCCCGCGTAATTTTTCAACGGCCCTCGTACTGAGTAAAATCTAATGAAACTTCGTGGGTATGTTAAGGAAGAATATAAGTAATATCTCGGGAAATTCAACTTTTTGAAGAAAATTTAGTTTAATAAATTACCAAAACCACTGATAAACGTAAACTGTTATTTAATATTGCATACAGATAAAAGCGTGTCTAACACAAAGACGTGCATCACCGCCACGGCTTCACGTGACTTCTAATAATAGCAAAATTTTCCTTAATAAAAAGGCTTATAGAACAACAATACCCCGGAGTTTGATAATTTCTTAATGTAATATACCTGAAAAACATCTATTTTGTCTAAAAAGTGCTGCTAGAATCCCACTTTCTTGTCCATAAAATATTTATTCCACACATTCGCACGAAACCTTACCCTTTGTTTTGAATTTTATACATATGAATCGAGATTTTTCGTACAACTATGCTTAACTTGGGATTCTAGCAGCACTTTTCAAGTTTGTCATAACGCATACTTTCAATCTGTACAAATCTTATGTTTTGAAATATCCAGCTTATTGTTGTTTTGTTGCATTTTTTGTTCAAGAATGACGGACGATAGGACGACCGGGATACGTAATATAGCCGACTGTCTTCGAAAAAGAATATAATTGATGAAAATAAATTAGCATATATGTTTAATTAATTGAATCCATATGAATTTAACACAATATTTCCGATATTTCCTTTTAAACTCCATTTTACGTTTCTTTGAACATGCTGTCTTAGCCAAATTCTCTTTACACGACATTATCAATATCCAAGTTACTTGATGTACACTTATGACGTCATCGGTGGTAGATTTCAATCATAATGACTGTTACAGCATAACAAAATAAAAACATTTTATTTTTGTTAATGTTTACACGTTTCTAATCATTTTCTAGAGTTAAATTACATCGCTAAATACCAATATTACGAAAACCTGATTTCTAAAATTGACGTCATCTTGCCTTCTATGACGTCATAATGCAGCACTGATTTAGCCAAGGTAGAATATTTTGTATGCTTCCTTATTCCCCCTGCGTTTCACAGAATCTTTACTACATATTGCCATTGTGCACCTCCTATTTTACTTTTTTATTCGTACGAATTTTAGGTTCCCCACAGCAAAACATGGACATTGCCATTATATGTTTACCAATGATGTCACATACAGAAGCTTCCGGATAACGTTTGATTGGACGATTTATTCCTCTTTACACATTACCGTAAAACAATAGCAACACATGGACATTATGGAAGGCGGGAGGGTATCATTTAGTGAGCTCATTGCTCACAGTACCTTTAGTTTCAATGGAACTCCCCATATTCTGTATAATTTTCTACCAAAACACATATTTCATTGGCAGTTTGCATCAACCGCAGGTAGGTTAAGGTTACAACCAAATATTATACTTACCTATATGATATGACGTCATAGTAAGCTATATGACGTGAAGTTTAGAGAAAACAATTTCTTATAATTGATATCAAAGATTGATTTGAGGTCGTAAAAATTAATCAAAATATGCAGAGGCATAAAACAAACAGAATGTTGTCGTTTCTGGGTCTCTGTAGTTATCACAGGGGTTAAATACCAAACCCGTGACGTCATAACTGTTGATCATGCAGCAGCAGAGTGAAAGTGAAACGTAACGAGAATTCATGTAAACAAACACAAGAAATCAGAGTTTAATTAAGAAATGAATTTAATTTTTGAAGATTCATGAGGTTATGAACTACGACGCTTCACGCCGGCATATTTCATGAAACGCGTTAGTTCATATACCTCATGAATCTTCAAAAAATTAAATTCATTTCTTATATTTACATTATTTTTCTGATGACTTGTCATAGATTTACGCCGTTCAACTGTCATTTAAAAAAAAACAGTGTACACTATATTTTTTGACTTTTTGACGTCAAGAGCGGCATTATGACGTAACAATGGAGATATTCATGCTTATTCGTGATACATACCTAATGTAGTTCATGAGAAAATATACTGCATTTTATTTTGTAAAGAATCTTAAAGGAAATTTATTAGAAATGTAAATATAAGCATTTAGAATGAATATCGTGTGTGATTCATGTGGGAATGAAGCTTATGAATACGGTATGGTAATATACTTCAACAATTTCTTCGTAAAATTAAAGCGGGGAGGGTGTTTATTTGCCGATCAGCCTTTCTTCTGTCGTTCGTAACAAACAAGATGCAAAAGTTCAACACTACGCCACACACTTTAAAACTTAATTTTTGTTTTTATATAAAGTTCTTATTCTATTGTTTTTGGAAAGTGCTGCTAGAAACGTATGGTTTACGGGAATTAATGCATTTTTTTCGATGTTATGAAGAAAATGTAAAAATTTTGGATAGGTTTCGTCCGAAAATTTTAAATAATTATTTCTGTAATCGGACAGTAGGATTCTAGCAGCACTTTTCATGGTACAGAGATGTTTTTACATAATTATTATTACAAATTGAAATTAATTATCCCCGGGGTAGTGTTGAACTTTTCACTTTTTCGTAAGGCATATTTTCTAATTATGGACGTCACGTGGTGACGTCGTGGTGAAGTGCTTCATGTAGTATAAGACCCATTGAAGTCTATAGAATGCATAATTATAACAAAAGTTTCATGCTTGACTTTTCCGATTTATTAGAGTTACATAATTATAAAAAAGTCTTAATTCGCCGAATTCTGGTCCATGTGCTGCCTTAACATACCCGCGACCAGAATAATCGTTCTTTCTGAAGAATTAAAAAATGGCGCTATGTGTGACCGGCATTTTACAGTGCATATCGGCTAAGGGTTTATGAGGAGCGTTGCGGACCGAAACCCCTTGGCTAGCAAAGATGCTCATCTATATATGTATAGAGGGTTGTTTTACCGGAGTTCTAATTTTGGCTTATTTGAGCATTATGGTAGTAGACTGCTAAAATTTTAATGCCTAAAATATTCATTACTCCTCTCAGTGTTTATCTGCAAAAAGCTGAATTTTTTCCGCTTAAATAAATTGCGCCAAAATATTGGCATATCTTAATGCAGGCAAAACGCCGAATTTTACACACGCCCAGAAAACCTGATATACGTTTTATCGATTTTTGAATATAAGGTATTTCAAAAAATGTACATTTCTGATTTTATTTGTTAATTAAAAAAAAATTATATGATACTTGGTTTTCTTGTTTTATGTGTCTGCACTGCCTATATTACTGAATCTACATTCAACGTACATTTTATCAGCAAATTTAAATATATTGAAATAATTCTTTTTAAATTTCTTTTTAAATTTATTGATTTTGAATATATCCCCTTGTATAGAAAAAATTTAAGCTTTGTATTGCAACCCAAGGTTAAAGGAAGTTCAAATACTGAGAAAAATTAAATCTAGAGAAAAAAATGTCCATACCTGTACATTATTTTTTAGCCCAAAACGGGCTTAAAATTGTATTTTTTTTTTTGATTGATAGACTTATCCACAATAAATTAAGGCAA